CATCAGTTACGGAAAAATTTCAACCCAAATCCGTTGAATATTGCCTCACCTCTATTCTCATTTGTTCTCTCTAGCACTCTCATTAGGTGAATATCTGACTTCCTCATTCTATCCTTCTTATACTTCACTTTCATATTTTTTCTTTTTTATCCATGCCATAGTCTAAGCAGTTTTTTCAGATGTATCTCCTGGCTCACAGATTCTTTCTTCAGCTGAGTCTGACGTAATTCTTAATTCATCCAGGAAGTTTTAAATCTTTAGCAATTACATTTTTGATTCTTAAAGATTCTATCTGGTTCTCCTTTAAATCTGTGTCATTTTAGATAGTCTATTGATCCTTTTTAATTCTACTTTTTTAATTTCTTTAAATAATTCACATATACTTATTTTACATTCTATTAATATCTGAGATCCTAGGGAGGCTTCATCTGTTGTTTTATTTTTGTTGATTTTCATGATTGATTGTTTCCTTGTGTGTTTGGTGATCTTTGACTGTGAGCTGATATTTGGTTTATTTTAATCTGTGGGAATCCTATGTGCCTCCTGATTTGATACTACTTTTAGCTCAGTGAATTTACTTCGGTTATTATAGTTTTTAATAGTCACAGTTGTTTGGTTCTTTTTTGTATCTCCTTATTTTTTATTCATATTTTCAAGAACATCTTTTACTTCTTATAATATATACAACATTTTAAATATTATCCAGTGATTCCAATACCTGAAATCTTTGCAGGTCTTATTCTGATGTCATTTCTGCTGACTCTCACTCATAGCACCTTGTTTCCTTTGGTGGTTAGTGATTTAAAAAATTACAACCATTCATTTTCATTGAAACTTTATCTGGTGAAATTCTTTGAGGTCTTATATAAAATTGGGTTTCTAACAAATGATTTGCATTTGATACTCTCGGGCACCAGAAACATTAATAATTTAGGACCTATTGAAACTAAATTCTAAGCATCAGGCTTTCTAGTCTTCTGAGTGATTTTGGGCAGCAAATCCAGATTAGTAGCTGTATGTTTTCTGGGAAATTTCTACTTTCCCCCTTCCATTAAGCATCTTTCCTAGCAATTCTAGGGATGAGGGTAGGGGTTGAGGATGCTTGGTTATATCTGGTTCATTTAAAAAAAAATTTTTATTTTGAAATAATTGTAGTTACAGGAAGTTGCAAAGGTAGTACAGTGAGGTCCAGTGTACTCTCTACCTAGTTTCCTGCAATGGTTACTATGTAACTGAAGTACAATATCAAAACCAAGAAACCGACATTGGTGTGTGTGTAGTCTTGTGCCATTTTATTGCACGTGTATATATGTAACCACCACCACAATCAAGGACAGAACTATCCCATGATCACAAAGACCTCTTTAATGCTACCAAGCCTTTTTACCACCAGCAACCAGTTATCTGCTCTCCATTTCTAAAATTTTGTCATTTCGAAAGTGTTATATAAATGGAATCGTACACTAGAAGACTTTTGAAAATAGCTTCTTTTCACTCAGCATGATGCCCTTGTGATCCATGTTAGTACTTGTGTGTATCAATAGTTAATTCTTTTTAACTGCTTAAAAGTAGTCCATGTTAAGAATGTACTACAGTTTTTTTTGATCATTCACCTGTTGAAGGATATTTTTTCCTTTCCTATTGTAGATGTTTTCCAGTTTGGGGATATTACAAATAAAAGTGTTTATGAACATTTGTAACAGGTTTTTGTATAGACATATGTTTTCATTTCTCTGGGCTAAGTACCCAGATGTGTGATTGCTGGGTCATCCTTATAACCAGTGTTTTAAACTCTGTATCTGGCAGATTGCTTGCTTCCATTTCATTTAGTTTTCTGGAGTTTCATCCTGTTTTTTTTTTTCATTTGGGACATGTTTGTCTCCTCATTTTGGCTGCTTCCCTGTGTTTCTATGTATTAGGCAAATCTGCTTCATTTCCCAGTCTTAGCATCGTGGTCTTGTGTAGTGGGTGTCCTGTGGGGTCCAGTGGTGCAGTATCCATGGTCACCTGAGCTGGATGCTCCAGGAGTATCCCTTGTGTGGGTTGTGCACGTCCTCCTGTTGTAGTTGAGCGTTGATTGCTGTTAGCACATAAGTGGGTGGTATTGACTCTCAGGCTAACTGGCTATGAGGACTGGCTGTGACCACCATCAACAAGCTGTTGTGTTGGGGCCGACCCCATGGAGCAGGGCTCTGGTGCCTTTCGAGTCCACCCTTTGGGTGTATTGTTTGTAGAGCTAATAGGGCAGTGCCCTGGTGTGGTCTGAAGTTGGCCATGGAGTGTGTTGGTTTCGGAGTCTCTGGGGAGAGGCTCTGGTGCAGGCCCAGATCAGCTGCTGCCTGTGCCTGGCCCAGGGCCACCTTGTAGGAGCTACAAAGTGATCTGTAGTTGGTAAGCTGTCTGTACTGTGTTTGGAGGCACTTGGGAGAGGCTATGCTGTGAACCAAGGCCGGCTGCCACCAGTGCTGGGTTGGGGGCTGCACAGCAAGAGGTACAGGGCACATTGAGGCCAGCCACTGCTTGTTTGGGGTTTGTGGACCTTTCAGAGATTTTAGGGAAGTCTGCCACCTGGGCCAAGGCCAGCTACTTGTAAGGAACAGCCACTGAAAGAGGTTCGGGCCTGTGTCTCTAGGCTGGGTCGGGGGAGGGCTCATAAAAGGAACAATAGCACCTGTCAGCACTTCTGTCCTGGTCAGAGCCAGCCCTTGCCCTGAAACCAGACAATTTAGTTCTTCTCCATATGTGCCTGGTGCTTTTCAAGTTTCTGCCCCAGTGCTGGAGCTCAGAGTGAGTCTGTCTGTCAGCAAGTAAGTTTGTGTGCGGGCCCTTTAAGAAGACTTCTGACTTCCCAGCAGCATGCTGCACTGAGTCCCTGATGATTTTCACAGCCAGCTGTTGTTGGAACTCCTCTTCCTGGCACCTGTGGTCTGGGCTGGGGAGCCCAGTGTGGGGCTGGGACCCCTTGCTCCTCAGGAGAAACCTCTGAAGCCAAGCTCTCTCTCCTGATTCTAAATAGCCACACTGTGGAAGTGGGACCTGCCCATTCCGCGTCTCCGCTGCTCCTATCAGAAGGTAGCACTTCTTTATATTGTTATAGGAGTTCTGTTCAGCTAGTCTTCAGGTGGTTCTCAAGGGCAGTTATTCTATAATTTAGCTGTAATTTTGATGTGGTTGTGGGAGGAGGCGAGCACAGTGTTTCCTATTCTACCATCCTGACCAGAAGTTCATTCCACCTTCTTTTGATGAATGTTGCCATGGAATATCTTTTCCTGTCCTTTTGCTTTCAGCTTACCTCTACCAGATTTGAAGTGAACTATGTAATGAACTGTCTGCTGGATCATGAGTCTCAGTCATTCTTAGAGCATTGCCCTGGGGCTTCAGCACTATGGGAGTTTCCCCACATACACTGGAGCAGGCTTTGTTCTTCAACCCTCTCAAGGCTCATGAAACCACAGAAATCAATATTCAATGTTACTAATTTGGCAAAGACCTTCAAGATGAAAGCCAGCTCTGGTGTTCCAGTTATCTAAGTTTCTATCTTCACACTCAGTCCTTGACCTGTGTATTTTCCCTTTTTAATAGTTTTCAGTGTGTACATGTCATCTACCATGTTGCTAGAGAGCCAACTAATCCTTGAAACAACTCTCTGATAGGTATTATTGCCCTTGTCTTACAGATTATGAAAATGTGTGACACTGTGATTAATTATATAAAATAGTGGACACTAAGTTTTGAGGCAGGCTGACCTGGGCTTGAATTTCGACTCCTTGCTTAGTTAGCTGTATAACTTTGGGCAATTTATTATCTAAACCTCTTTAAAGGTCAGTTTATTCATCCGTGTTATAGTATTTCTTGTAGTATTGTTGGGGGTATTAAATGAGAAATGCATTAAAATGCTTAGCATTTTATTAAGTACTTTATCCTGAATAAATGATAGTTGCTCTTATCATTGTTCTAATTGTTAAAGATTCAATAATTGCCAGTGGTCGTTCAGCTAGTACATGGCAGTGCTGAGATTCAGACTTAGTTCTGTGAGTCTAAAGCCCATGCTCTTTTCCCTATACCATGTTGCTTTCCTTATCTTCCTTAGAAAGTATTTACAGAGGATAAAAAGAAAAATAATAATTCACATATCTTTCATACATTTATCTCTATCCTATCCAAATAATCCACAAATATTTAAATGACTAGGTTTTGTAGGGGAAAGAAAAAAAGTCTCAGCACTAGACCTTATATATTGCTAACTGGACTTAAATTCCCTCAAGAGCAGTTTGTATTTACTGTAGTACTTAAATATTTAGCCTTTAGAATCAAAAAGACCTAGATTTGAGTCTCAGCTTCTCAACCTCTAAGATCCACAATTCCTGATCTGTTAAATGGTAATAATAACATTAACTCCCTAATAGGAATATTGGAAGGATAAGATAAAATAACATATTTAGAAGAGGGCCTGAAATATGGTAAATGCTCCCAAATGGTAACTTGTTATTACCAAAGGCAGAGACTGTTTTCTACATTTTTTTTCATTCTTCCCATTAGTTCAGCCAATCAACAATCTGTGCCCTTTTATGCACTAAAGAAAATACATAGCAGGCAACTCGTTTAATACTAAACAAGGCATTAAGTAGAAAGGACACTAAGTTGATTCTTTACATCCAGAAGTTCATTATTTAAGATAAGCAATTTTGTCACAGAGCTGGCTCTATCACCTATGAGTCTCAGAAATGACAGAAATATTTAGAACAATCATTCTGAGAATGTTTAAAGGTTCAAGTATTTTGGCATGTATAACTAGATGAAGTCTCTCTTCCTGCTTTAGAAGGTAATTTTCTCTCCCACAAGGAAGAAAAAAATACATTTAGACAAAGAAAAAAGATGTTTTCTTTTTACTCGTTTAAAAAGACCTATTGTTGAAATTCATGAAGAGATAAATACATAAAAGAGTTCACCCTCTCAATAATCAGAAAAAATCGTATCAGTAAAATTCAGATTATAATTACCTTCTTCTTTCGTTCTTCCCCAGCCACCTATAAAACACTTTGTGTTTTGGTCCAGATTTTGGAAAACATCAAAAGGTAGACAAATAGGCTGAATATATTCATTATACTTCACTTTTTTTTTTAAATGAAAAAGCGCAACATCATTTACAAAAGATTCCAAATCGAAGTCTGGATGGATGATGATTGCCTTAACTTTTATAATCTTGGTGGGTGGATGCCTCCCATGTATATTATTAGTTCCAAGCACAGCTCTCCACATTAAAGGATCTCTGAAAGAAGGTAAATGTTATTATAAACATGTTTATTTAATTAAGCATATATTCTTAATCTCCTACCAGTTCTTGTTTTTCTCATGTTATATTAATGACAAAAAAAATTCGATCCTACTTTCATGTGACATAAAGTCACATCATATAAAAGCCGAAATACCATGACGTAGGAAAGGAGAAAAAGATCTATGGGATAGAAAGCTCAAAAAGAGATTCAAGTACTTGAGAATTTATATAATTAAGGTAGCACTTCTTACCAGTGAAGAGAACATGAATTATTCAATAAATGATATTGGGACAACTAGCTAAATAATTAGTTTGAAAAGTGAAATAAAATTAAATCCCTGAAAAACACTAAACACTAAATTTGAAATGGATTAAATTTTAAATGCACAAATCTTTTAAGTAAAACTTCCTATCTTTTAGACATACATAAAGTGGTGTGTCTGAGATTTGTTTCAAAATAACAGGAGTGGGGAGTTGATGAGGATAAAGATGAAACAAGATCAGGCGTGAGTTGATAGCTTGAAGTTGGGGGATAGGTATATGAGAGTTCACTAAACAATGCCCTCTACTTGTGTAAATTTTTGAAATTTTAGAATGAACTATTTGGGTATTAAATTAGCATGAAAATTATAAAAATTAAACTAGAAAGAAAATATGGATGAATACATAACATCGACATGAGATACAACTTTATAAAGCATGACACTAAATATAAAAACAAAGGCAATCAATAGATCTTGACAGTATTAAGAAAACAAAAAGCAAGTAAAAGTCAAACCAAATGAAAAAAATCTTCTATAGGTCAAAAACCAATAATTAAAATGCTGGGTATTTAGTAGGTGTTACATTTAAAATTGGATTGAGAAGGAAAAACTTACTTTTTACACAGTTGTTTACAAATGCTAAAATTCCTTTTTACCCTTCAAATTGGCAAAGTTTATGTATGAGTATGTGGGTGCATGTGAGTTATGCATGTTTGATGATAATGCTCAGTGCAGACAAGAGTTAGAGGAACAAAGTTACTCTTATTCATTGTGGAAAGTATAAATAGATACTTTGGCAGCATGAATCAATAGCCTGTAAAGGTTGCATTGTATTTGACTCTGTAGTTCTATCTCTTTGAATTTATCCCAAGGAAATAGGAGATATTTAGCTCTCTTAAAACTGGACTAGGCAAACTTTGAAAAGTTTGTAAAAATTTTTTAAAGTCCTAGAACTATTTTTTTTTAATCACACCTTTAAGCTACTTTGAAATAATGTTTCTTTTCCAAACGTACTCAATTTATATTACTTACTTCATTCAATTTGTATTCAGACCATAAGATTAAAAAACATGTTTTATACACTGAAAACTACAAAACATTGCTGAATGAAATTCCAGATGACATAAATAAATGGAAAGACATCCATGTTCATGGATTGGAAGACTTAATATTGTTAAGATTACCATACTACCTAAAGAGATCTATTGATTCAGTGCAATCCTTATAAAAATCCCAATGATGTTTTCTGCAGAAATAGAAAAACCCACCCTAAAATTCATATGTAATATCAAGGGACTCCCCCCCACCCCGCCCCAATTAATCTAGGGAAAAAATGAAGTTGGAATCACTTCCTGATTTCAAAACTTGCTGCAAAGCTATAATAATCTAAAGAATGTGATGCTGGCATAAGGACAGATATACACACCAATGGAAAAGGATAGAGAGTCCAGAAATATACCCTTGTATATGTGGTCAGTTGTTTTTCAACAAGAGCGTGATGACAATTCAGTAAGGAATGGACAGGCTTTTTAACAAATTGTGCTGGGAAAATTGGATATCTATGTGGAAAAGAATGAAATTAGACCCTTACCTTTCACCATAAACAAAAATTAACTCAAAATAAGAGTAATTAACTCTTAGAAGAAAGCACAGGAGAAAACCTTCATGATGTTGAATTTGGCAATGATTTCTTGGATATGACATAAAAAAACACAGGCAACAAAAGAAAAAATAGATAAATTGGACTTCATCAAAATTAAAAACTTTTAAACAAATGAACAAATAAAACGAACAGACTCATAGATACCGAAAACAAACTGGTGGTTACCAGAGTGGGGAGAGGTTGGGGGTGCAGGTGAATAGGTTAAGGGGATTAAGAGGTACAAACTCCCAGTCATAAAGTAAGTCACGGGGCTATAATATGTACAACATAGGGAATATATTCTATAATATTGTAAGAACTTTGGTGACAGATGGTAACTAGACTTATCAAGATCATTTCTTAATGTATATAAATGTTGCATCACTATGTTGTATACCTGAAACTAATAGAATATTGTATATCAATTATACATCAATTTAAAAAAAAAATTAAAACTGGGCATCATAAGACACTATCAAGAAAGTGAAAAGACAACCTACAGAATAGGAAAAAATATTCGCAAATCTTGTATTTGATAAGAGACTAATGTCTAGAATATATAAAGCATGCCTACAACTCAAAAACAACAAAAAAAACAAACCACCCAATTAAAAAATGGGCAAAGGACTTGAACAGACATTTCTGAAAAGAAGATATACAAATAGCCAGTAAGCACATGGAAAGATGTTTATCATCACTAGTGATTAGAGAAATGCACTTCAAAACCACAATGAGACAGCACTTTACATTCATTAGGATGTTATCATCGTAGTAGTGTAAGTAGTGCAAATAATGAGCTAAAATAAACAGACAGATATTCTGGAACTACTCCTAATCAGTGGGGACAAAAGAAACAAATTTAAGAGATACTGCGGAGAGAGTCAGCAACTCTGAGTAATGGAGCTGTTGGTGATGCTGTTATTTGAGAGAACAGAGAAGGGACAGGATTAGAAGAAAAAATTTTAAATTAATTTTTGGACTTGTTGAGAATGTGACTAATATATATATA